CACTCACTTTGTGAGAAAATTTAAAGAAAAAACTGAGCAATTAATAGTCCTACTTTAGTAGCAGAAAGACAAAGGTAAAAGTTCTTGCTTTTGTCCTGTGAACAGGTACACTGAGAATTCATTTATTCTGCATACATTGCGAGAAAGGAAAATGTGGTAACATACTGTTACTAATGCTGTGTCCTACAGATTTTAATAGTGCCAGCACTGAGGTGAACGGGGATTTAGCATGCACTAAGGCTGACAAAGAAGGTGGCTGTATTTTTCCTTAAGATCTGACAGTAGCTTCTCAACAAGACTTACTGAAGTCTGAAGGTCCACCCGCCTCCTGTTTCATCAGTGTTTTTGAGCACAAAATTCTTGGCTCTTAAAGCGAGAGCCGGAAATGAAGCCAACTGCTCTAAGCTTCACCTTCCAGACCGTCACCTCTGCATGTGCTCTCCAACACAGACTCTTAGATGAACCTTTGGCATTGCTGTCCTCCTTGGACAGGAAGTAACTACTCCCTTCTCCCATCTGCATGGCTCATCCACAGCTCAGGATCATTCCCTGAGCAGCTGTACCTCAGTGCTGACTTCAAGGACCAACTACACCTCTCTCTTTGTAAGGCAAATTCGGTACCTGCTGGGGCAGGACTCACAGATGAGGCTGGGAAGCAGATCCCAGGGGAATCTCACCACTGGGGCCACAGGCCCTTTCTCCTCTCTCACAGGACAGACCTCTGACTGCAGAGAGAATTCACTTTACAAGGATAATTCTTTCCATTCAAGTGCACAGTTCTCACAGATACTTATTTTCTTCCCTTCTCTCTCTTTTCCATCTAAAAAATTATTTGGAAAAGATGTCTTTCTGTTCAAAAGGAGGCTTATGACATTGCTTCTGACCATTGACATATTCCTATTTACTCTTCATTGCCTTCCTGCAACAAGATGTAGCCTGAATATCTTGCCTTTAGAAGAAAGGACATCTGAAGTAAATCCAGAAACAGAAATGGATGAACAGCTAATTCAGGGAGTGACTGGTGAAGAATGGAAGAAAAAGTGGTTTTCACAAGTGTAGTGCTTCCAGAAAAAGACAGAAAGACTTTTCTGGGGAAAAGATCAAAGATACAGGTATGTACAGCGTTGATTTGATGGGTGATGTTACCTGTAACTCAGAAGGTGATGAAAAAAGGCCCTTCTAAAAAAATCTAGGCTCAGTGGAGATTGACTACTCAAAAACAATCCTTTCTAATTTTTAGAAGGGAAAACAGAATTACTAGGTCACTGACAGTAAGGGCCAGTACTCTGCTTCACTTTCCTCTGCCTTCTGTTGAAAAAAATATGTGTGAGTTGGGAGTCTCGAATCTTCTGGTTATCTTGACCCTACTTTACAAGGAATAGCAGTGTTTAGCCAAAGATCTCAGAAGATATTCCACCCTTTCTGGCAGAAGGATATTTATACAGGAGTTGACCTTGGCACAAATGATGTAGGAATGGTGAAGCTGGATTTAGTCAACCCTTAACATGAGTTGCTACAGGATGGATTCCACAATGGAGGGTTGCATCTGTGACATGGATAAAACCCCCTCCTTCAGTCAAAGCAGCACTGCATTTGCTCCTGACATGATCTGCTGTCTCTGGTAACCAGCAGTTTGTATCACAACCCCACCCTTGCAAAGCCCATTTTACAACAGCTATACCCACTGTCAACAATTTGGAGTTTTGTTTATGTACAGGACAGGGGGAATATAGTCAAACCTTTGGTTAACTAGAATTGCATTGGAAAAGGTCTTAAACCATATCAGATGCCTCTAAAGGAAAGAAAAAGGATCAGTCAATGTTATTGATCTCCATGTAAGCTTGTATTTTCTTTTAGAACATAACAAGAGTTATGAGTTTTAGACCTCTAACTAGTTATAATAGGATTAATACTATTAATACAATACTAGTAAAATGATTAATAAAATTACTAAAAATAAAGATAATGACTTCACAAGACTCTATAAGCTATGAGATAGCTAGAACTCTGATTTCATTAAGAAGATAGTAATGAATTTCATTTTTACTTTCAAAGCAAAGAAATTCTAAGCTTCTCTAGCTAGTCAAAGATTATGTGTCTCAGAACACAAGCAAATCACGCAGACTTTTCATAATGTGCCCAAAATGGGACACCAATACCTGAGAAATATTATCCAGGAATTATTATTGTGTGCTTTAGGTAGCTATTTCTTATTTCTTGTACAGCAACTAATGGCAAAATGCTTCTGAGCTTTTAATGGAAATTGATTTAAGTGACCAGAAGTTCTCACTTTGCAATGCTATTAATTTAGTTATCCAGTTATCTTTGAGGTGCTCTCCATAATCTGAAGAGCTAGAAATTGTATACTTAGGTAACGACTCTCTCTAAAATAAATGTACATATTCAAAAGGAGTATCAGCAAAAAATAAAAACAAATCAAATGGAAAAATCTTTAGGGCAATTAAACTGTTTGCAAAAAAAAAAAAAAGACAATATATTAATTTAACTTTTACTTCCTAACTTCATTTTAAAAAAGCCTTCTTTTTTGAGGAAGTATTAGAAAACAATGTTTAAAATGTTTAACTGAAGTCTTTCATCCACTTTCTTTTATATGCTGTACATATGCTTTCATTTCTGCACATTCCTAGGCATTGCACTTCTGGATGAGAATGGCTAGCCCAGTGAAGTTTTGAAGATGTTTCTTGCTCAAGTATCTGAAAGACTAATCAAGAACCATGACAGTATTGGTTCTTTTAAGGCATTTCCAGACAACTGTTGCAAAGCAGGAGTGCTAATGAACTTATACAAACATTAAGCCTGAATGGGTACACAAACTGTACCACATCTTTGAATTTTGAGTAACCACTCTTAAAATTTTGCAATTAAAGGATAATAATATGCCTAAGCATTTCTTTTGTCCCAAGTACAACACATAACTGAAACAGATTCTGAATGTTACCAGTGGAATGATACAAAAAAGTTGTCTCAAAATGATATGTAAATAATAATTTTATTTTTAAATATGCCACCTGCATTTTAAGTTCCTGAATCAGATTTTTATTTTATGGCTTGCTTTCAATAAGCTTAATAGAAGTGTCCTACATAGTTCACAAAATATGTTCAAAATGTGCCCTTTTTTACTGTTCTTGTCTCTGAAATGTTATGTATGTCATCACAGTCATCTCTTTCTTAGAACATGTAAATCTTTACTATGCTAACTTTAGTATTAGCATGATTTATCAATGGATTCCTACTGAAATGTAATACATGGCATGAAGTTCCAAATCCTAAAGCTAGCCACTTCTTACTTCACATGCTGTATGCAAAGCTGTTTTTCTGACTGATGACTTTTCATAATTCACTTGAGGAAACACCAACCAAGCTATATTCTTGACTAACAAAACCTGTGCAGTTTCAGGAACTGAAATGGGTCGCACATGTCTAAACTCAGCAAAGATTATGCCACTGACTCACGTGCTTCCCTTGCCAAATGCAAGTCTCATAAAAGTTATCAGGATACACCAAGAAGGGAGTCTTAATTTAGTTTCACCTTCTTCATGTCCAGTGGTTTCATTCTACTGAAATGCAAACTTTTTAGATTGTCCTTCTTAGCCATTTTGAACTTGTATTCTTATGGGCGTTCCTATTTTTCTGTTTAGTGGGTTTCATAAATGGTAACAGAAGACATGAGATATTTGGGGACTGGACTGTCCATCAAAATAGTGAATTTTGGCTCCTCAGTATCCTCAACACTAACTTGCTTTCATTTTATATGACATGATATATTCACTTTCAAACCACATCAATTTCAATGAAAAAAAAAAAAAAAAAAGACGAGCTGTGTGTGAAATGTTTAGCTAGGTTTAATTTCCTTCCTGTGTCTGCTGAATTTTTACAACATAATGAAAATATATGAAACACAAGTAAAGGAAAAGAGACAACCCAATCTCACCATCACTCCATGAACCAGAGAGATTTTGTTATGTGACAATATGATCATCATCACATGCGAGAGCTTTTATCCACAAGTATAAAATAACTGTGTTATCCTACCACCTTGACAAATTCCATTTATATTACATTTTCCTCAGGAGTGAAAAAGAATAGTGTATAAAAAAACCCCAAACCTAAGAGTTTAAGGACCAGCTGCTTCTGTTTAAGCCCAACTGCTTCAGTATTGATGCAGCATAGCTAAGGCATGATGTCATCTGAAGGGCCAGCAGAATATACCCTGGTTGATCTTAAAAATATGTAGGGGTCTAGCCTCTCCTTTCTGAGTGTGCATAATTCCCATCAGTGGGGAAGGGAGTTGTTCACATGAAGAAAAGAAGATAAAGTAGACTAAATGACCATAGTGGATAGAGAGGTGTATAAATTCTACCAAAGAAAGAGACAACTATTTTCTTAACATTTACTTGTTCTTGCTACAACATAGTTTTTAAAACTGAAGAGAAGAAAGAATAGTCTTCTAATGCCTCCTGTTTGCTTTTATATGACCCTATGGGGATGGAAATCATTCTTTTATTCCAGTCCTTCCATTCTCTTTCTCCATCCATTCATCCAACTGTCCATCCATCCCTTCCCCTGCTTCCTACTTCTGTGGTTTGATATGCATGCATGGAGATATTTGTATTGTATATAATTTACTATATATTTAATAGAAGCTTTTCTTGTTTTAAAAGGTGCAGGAGAAGAAAATAAATGTAATAAAAGCTTCAGCTTATAAACAGAGTACAATACACATGTTCACAGGCACACAGAAAGAATAATGGCATGTATTACCTAGCCAGTCACTTAAAAGGATGGCACAATATATACTATTCCAAATGCCAAGCAACAATGAAAATCTTAAAGTGATAAAACTCTCTCAATGTCATGGGAACACAATTGTCACTTGTCATTACTGTGCATCTCTCTATTTCTTCATATATCCTAAACTGCCTATTCTTACATAATTCAACACATTCAATAATGTAGAAAATCAATTAATATTTACTGACCTGTCTCTGCTTCTCCGTGATGGGAACGCAGCGTTACAGCCAGCCACTGTGCAGACATGCATCTCTTTTAAATGAACATTTCTGTAGTGAAGCTTCACACTGTAGGAACTCTTGAAACTTTTCTTGCACACATAGCAGATCTTGGGGTCTGGACTGGAGCACATTTCACCTTCTGGGGAGAACTTCTGAGGGCTGCTGTAGTTGAATGTAGAAGCAAAACTTTCATGAAGGGCAGCCATACTGGCACTGCCTCCATTGTACAGTCCATATTGGCTCATGTAGAACATATCATATGTAGGGTCTGTATACTCTTCCTTCACCTTAATGACATCCTGGTTGGAGGAGTCATTGTGATTTTCATCTGGTCTGTCACTGTGCATCATAGATTTTTCACCAGTTTCGTGGAGGCGATCATCGCCTTCCATGGATTCCTCACACAATTTGGGCTCTGATGACTCTGACTCATTTTCATAGTCTCTCTCATGCTCCTGGTCTTCTGATGTCATGCTGTCTGCCCTTCTTATGTCTGGTCTGGAAATGCATCTGCTTCTGTCACTTTTGGAAAAGTCTTTCACAGACAGTCCTGGGCTCATTTCCTCCTGAGAATGGCAGTGATTGTCATGACCAATGTCATTCACCATCGTGCTGCTGTCATTCACCTCTTCATCTTCATCATCAAACTCATCGGCAGTATCAATAACTTCCTTTTCAATTTTAACTGGCATGCTTGACTTCCTTGGCTTCTTCTTGGGGGCAAGGTCAGCATTAGGCTCTGGGGTGGGCATCAGCACTGAAGGTACTGATGACTCTGAAGGAGGAGGGGGATGCTGCTCCATGCCACTCACTGCTGGTATTATTGGACTGGTAGGGAGTGAGGTTGGAGGACTCACCATCTCTCCAGGAGTAAGTAAATTTCTGTAAAAAGGAGGAACAGGTTGGACAGTCTTTAAAGCTGGGAACACCAGCTGACTGGGAAGAGGGTTCTGTAGTACAGGATCTAGAGGGGGAGTGGTAAACCCCATTGGTGGACGCCCAGGGCTTGTTAAAGTTAGGCTGGATTTTGTACTTGCTATGACTGGAGTGGCGGCACCTGATGTAGCACGAATTAGATCTTTGTCGCGGTTATTCCTTAACATAGGCATGTGGAGGCGGGGATTGGGGTTAGCACTGTGGCGATTGCGGCTTCTGAGAGAGCTGAAGACCATGTTGCAGCCCTCAATAGTGCACCGGTGCTTGATTTTCAGGTGAACAGCATTGTAGTGGATTTTAAGAGTACCTTTGTCATAGAAAGTTTTGCCACATGCATTGCAAAATACTCTTCCTTTCCTGGAGGCTGACCCCATTCTCCTCATTCTGTGAATGCGAAATGAGCTTTTAGTGTGTTCTGGTTTTGATAAATCATTGACAGGTGTAGGTGTCTGAACAGGAGAGACGCAGGCTGGCTCAGTTTTGGGCTCAACATTTGTGATGCTGGTCAAAGCATTCCTGCTGGATGTTTGCTCATTCTTGAAAGGTGTAGGGGAAACTTCAGATTCACTGCTCTCATTATATTCATTTTGGGTCGTAAGGCTTGGTTCACGGAGCCTCATTGCTGGCTGTTCCAGCAGAAGGCCATTTGGAGGCAGCCCCAGTAGCGGAGCAGAGACCGGATTTATGTACTGGAATGGAAGCAGGAATGCAAGGCTATTTGGGATGTTTTCAAAATGATGAATGCTGGAAGGGTTGCTATTCTCCAGGTGAGCAAGGAGACTTGGGCTCCTGGTGCGATTATTGCTTTCAATAAAAGTCCTTATATCTGAATCTGTCTTTGAAGATGGCACAGCCACAGCCTGCCCTTCTTTTTCTTGAATTGCCATCAGCTCCACAATGGATTTGGTTTCTCCAAATCTCAGGAACTGCTGAAGGGTAATGATCTCTTCTTCCCTGGACATGATGGCCCAGCGGTCCAGCACCTTGCCTGCAGCATCCTAGAGGCCATATCAAAGAAACAACAAAGACAAACACAAAGAAAAAACTTATTGATTCTGCATAATTATTGAATTCAATAGAAGGTGCTCTGCTGCCTGAACATGAAACACTAAGCTCAAAAAACAACATGCAAACAGCGTTAATAGAACTCGACCAAAAAATGCAAACTTTCCAGCCATGCAAATACAGTAATTAGAGTCACCGTCAGAGAAACAGATTGAGTTTAATAATGTCAGAGCAAACAAAATGTAGACCATGGGGCTCTGTGATCTAAAATGCTTTCAATACTTTTATTTTAACAACAGTGATCTATGTACAATGCTACTGTTTAGCATACATTAGCGTAAAAAATGAATTGTTGCTGTGCACTCCATTATAAAATATAGAAAATTGTACCTTAATCACTATTAAATGGTGACACTATAAGAAAGGCTAAATAAATGCATTTGATAGCTTTGCTTCTTAAATATAAGCAGACATAAGACTGAAGTCACTCATGGGCCATCTCACAAGAAATTTTGATGCAAGGCAAAAGTCTTAAAAATAGCACATAATACTTGTACCTTACTCCTTTTTTTTTTTCCTTTTTTCTTTTTTTTCCCATGACAGCAATACTGAAAAACATATTCATTATAAACTTGCATCAAAAGGTAGAAATTGGGGCACTGGTTTTAAGCATAACTGGACTATTACTGGCAATTGATTCTAAGCTTGCAATCTTTGTATGGTTTAGACTTAAGAGATGACTTTTTTGCAGCCTTGTTATAAATGACAGTTAAAAATATGTAAAAAGTAAGCATCTGATGGATGTAGATAGCATAAATGTGTAAAAATGTTGTCTCTTAACATTGCCTTCTGATAGCAAGGGAAAAATCCAGAGAGAATACACATCAGTAATCACTAGACTATCTGTTGTTAAATATACATTAAAAAGCATTTCACACTTTCATTTTTGCTAGTAAGCATGAGATTTGCCTGAAGGTAGGACTTAAAAATTCTGCAATGTAATGTCAGGCAATCCATTCCAGCATGTATTGATAAAAACATATTAAAATACTTATATAATGAATACATCATTTTATTGGCATCTTTCCTTTTGGGCAAATGCTGGACATAACATCAGCACAGTAACTATAACCAACAAGCACTGTTGCAGGCCATCAAACCAGAATTATTCCAATGCTTCCTCATGCATTAAACAGTTTGAAAGCCTTGAAAGATACTCCACTGTACTGTCTCTGATCTTTTTAAATCTTGAGTCTCAGCTTCAGAACCTTATCCGAACACTTCGGACTACACAGTATTGCAAAAACCACTAGCTCTTGTTTGATTTTGAAGCCTGCAAATAGCTTGCTTTTTCCCCCCCAGGCCTTATTTATTTATTTATTTTATTATCTTCAGTCTTCAGAGGATTGATTCTTCTCTCCCCTCACATTTCCTACAGTACTGGAAAATGCAATTTGCCCCAAATAGTAAAGCATATATTTATTTGATTACAGCTGGTTTTATTATTTCAGTTTAGATCTGTGTCACCTCTCTGGATACAAAGTTAATGACGAAGGTCAATGCCATGTATGTTTCAGTACCTTAGATGCTACTGTAAAACCTTTAGAAAAGCTCCACACGTGACCATTAGCAATCAAACTTTACAATACTATGAAACCTTCAACAGCAATTAATTATGGACAATCTTACCCAGCTGACCCGGATGGGAAGCCCCAGAAAGCACCTCTATGCAGAAGATGTTCAGCATGTATTTACACAGTGACAAAGGAAACACCACAATGCAGATGCTGGTCCTGGTTTGCAGCACTAATCAGGAAATGTCCCCACCTTAGGACACCACACTGTGGACCTCTCTAATTTCTACATCCTCCCAGATCTACCAGTCTGATGGAGCAGTATTTTACAGGCAGTCAGTGCTATCTAGTAGAAATCATCCAGAACACCAAAAAACCCTATCCAATAATAAAATGAAGTGAAACAAAACCAAACCAAAATGAGGCGAGGGGAGGGAGAAAAAAAAAACCATCAACACTACAAACAAACAATTAAAGGACAGGTTCATATTTTAAAGCTCTAAGATTACATTTTTTTCCCCACCCAACTAACTTTGGCTACTCTCCTCATGAGTGTGACCCAAAACTTCTTAAACCTACTTCTCCCACAACTTCCAGCCAGCCATACCAGTTCTACATTTGAGTAATTCCTACGTGGAACTGCAAAATGAGACTCGGATCAGATTTTGGTCTCCAGACCTTCACTGTGACCTCTGACCCAATCTATACACACACACACACATTTCTAATTCCAAGCCACAAGTATTAATTCCTTCTAACTGTAACTTGCATTGTTCAAAGATGGAAATAACATTGTCTAATTTACACTGCTTACATGTATTGAATTAGGATTCCTGTCTGCAGCCAGCTGCAGGCTGCTTTGTAATGTACTACTTGTAGTAATTTGTTTTGTTTTTGCTTTAATTTGTAAATCACTCACAGGCTTATGTAACAGATGGATGCTTTACAAAAATGGATATTTAAGTAAATAAAAATTAAATACAGTCAGCATGACAATAACTCATGAGAATAGTAGGTACAGATCCTGTAACAGACTCCCACATGTAAGCGGAAGGTGGTATCACACAGTCCCTCACCCGGTGGCAGCGCAACCAGCTCCTTGCGTGCACAGAACAGACAGACATCATCTAAATGCGGGGGCTCCCAGTATGCTTTTGGGGATTTGTTCCTCAGCTTAACTCAAGAAGCTGGCAGTTGACTACATGATCTACCTCCCAATGAGACACCACCACCCTTTGTTTCATTTAGTTTAAGGATTTGCAAGGAGGAGGGCGAGACCTTCAGCAGCTGCTAAGTCCCACTGATCAGAGAAACTGGCAGTCAAGGGTGTGATTGTCATGGGGTTACCCTCGCTGTCATAGAAACAGCAGGGAATCAGAAAGTTGCTCTTAAATGATCCTTGCCTAGTCCTACTAGTTATATCAACCTATACCTTGTTAATTTTCAGCAAAAAGTTGTTTGGCTTTTTTCCCCCAGCAGAAGTAAGGAAAATTTGCATAGATGCCTGTATTTCATAGACAGCACACTACTTACGGATACTGTGTAGCATATGCTTCAATATTTACATAGTGATGGCTTTCCATAAATCACTGTAAGTATGTATTACGCAAAACTAGATAAAGAGCGAATAGGATTGTCATTTTTTTATAAAACTTAAAATTAACAAAAAATCTAATCATTATCCCCTTTGAATTAAGCTATAACTAGCTAGGGATCTCTCTGTATATGGTAATACTTGATTAGAGGTTCAAGTCCTTTCATACATGTAATCGATTTCTTGTTTCTTACAATCTCTCACGCTAAATTTTCTCCCCAAAGCCATTAAATCATATCCACATTTAAATATTTCATGACAAAAGGTTCCAATTTATATTACTTTTTTCAGCTCATAACTGATTAAGCCAAGCCTCCTGTGACAATGTGTACAAGGAAGTCAGCGAGTATAGAGATACCACTGCACGCTTACAGCTTTAAGCCAGGCAGCACACAGGTAAGCCCAACCCATACACCATACAGTGATGCTCTTCCTTCTTTGCCCATACAGCCTTGTTTTTATTTTTATTTTATTTTATGTGTGGGTAGCTCCCTCACAATTTCAGATGGACAAAATCTTTTAATGTCCAAATCATATTAAATTAACCTCCAAGGATGCAAGACATAACCTTGAATCTTTTTCCAACTCTTAACACACGCTTGACTATTATTTTTATAGGTACGGAATCACATACACACATACTACATTAGATCTATAAAGTAATGTCATGGTTAATCATCCTGAACCTGCCTCCTCATTTTTGCTGACCATATGTTAGGAAGAGATGTGCCAGGATATATTAGGGTACATCTTGTCTTAAACTTCTGAGTCAGACAGAACAAGTGATGGGCATCAAGATTATTATCTTGGATGATACAAACAGGCTACAAAAGAAGATGGACACAAAGATCACTGTAATTTTTAGAAGCTTAATTGGGGAGGATTGTGAAGATGATTCTTCACTTCCTGAGGGCCTTTAGGCTTTAAAAATTTCAAGCTTTCAATTCAGCTTTAAAACCTCCCAATTTAAAGACTGCCTATTTAGAAAATAAGGACAGTCTACACAAACATACATTATAAACATACACTGTAAACCTTGAACTTTTGTTATGAAATCAGTTGTTTTAAACTCTCACTTTGCGTGAGAAGCTCCGTTGACTCCTGTGCCTGCATTACGTGCAGGTAATTTTATATGTCTACACTCACACAGACACATGTATGTACATACATATACACACCACAGACTTTTTGCAGTTCTATTTTTATCTTACTAACTAACTTCTTGGCATAGGTAAAAGTATGTATACACCTGGCTGAATACATAGTGAGAGATGATTACACAAGAGTTGAGATTAATAGAAAGGTTACCAAAAAAGTTAAAATTGCTTCTTAAACAAGCCTTATGTTTTGGGAAGCACTCAAGGATTATTTTGGGGCACTACTGTGGTAACTTCTGAGTACCACTCAAAGTTATATAGAAAAACACATTGCTAGCCTTCATATTTTAGCAAGTTTGCATACACACCATAAACTGCTGCTTTTGATGTGTTATCAGCTAAGTATCCATGTTACAAAACATTACATAGATACATGTTTGATTAAATAAGCAAGCCTAGTGTTTATCACAAATCTTTCTTCTATAAGCCCTTCTTAAAGAGCTATACATTTTCTAGCTGATCTCAAAGAAACATTTTGAATGCAGCTGTAGCAGCTGAAAAGCAGACTGAAAGATATTAATTTGGTCATACTATAATTGCAGAGGATGGTTTTAATTAGGGTGTAGACAGAAAAAAAAAATCAACATTTGTTTCTAATAAAGAAAAGCCTACATAATTTCCATGATTTAGGGTTTGTTGGTTTTGTTTGGCTGAATTTCCCAGGAGCA